GTTTAATTTGAGGTCAAAATTTCCGTCGATTTTCTAATTTTTAAGTGCCCGGTGACTTTTGATACCCCACTGTACATCTGGGTCTAATACAGATACTTAGTTATGTTAAATTTAAACTTAATATTTCTAGATCTATGTTTTGGTGAGAAAAAGCTTGATGCGATAAATGATGTCTGCCACATCATTGGATTATGGTACGATGTTATCTTACAATAAAGATTTACCAGAAAAAATTCTATAACTTTGTTGGGTTGTATCATCAAATAACGAAAACCAAGCAATTAAGGAACGAGTTTTTCTTTTAGTTAAAAATTATGGGATAACGGTAAAAGACATATCGGCATTATTTAGCTATAAAATAGCACGAAACAGAATTGTTCACAAGAATCACCTGAAAAAAAGGTGCAACTACATCACCTCCTTCTAATCAATTGGAGGATGCTCTCAAGCTATTGCGTCTAGCTCCTAATCAGGTGCAAGACTTTCCGAAAGCATTCGAAAGATGCGCAAAATGGGTTTATAGTACGAACTAATCTTTAATCTAATAAAAATACATTAGATATACAGCTGTTTTACTGAACGATTAATTTCGCGCAGTTCTTGTTTCAACATTTTTTAATTGGTAAGTATTTTATAAAAAAAAATTAAGAATTTCTGCTTTAAATGTGATCCAATAGTAACAGAATCCCATGCTCAAAATCCCCTTTCCAACATTTCAAAGGCTTTTTCAAAGTATTCCCCAGCCTTTGTATCTTTGTAAACTTCACGAAGTGTTTCAAAAATAAGGTTTTCCTGTTTGGCCTCAGACAATACTTCTTGTGGTGCGTCGGGTAACATCATAATTTTCATTTTCAAATCATATACAACTTGACTCTCCGGTGATGATGGAATAACATCCATTCCCTTATTAAATAAATCCATAAAATCCATTACATGTCTATGACGTCTATTAATAAATCCTCTAAGTCTTTGGTTTCATTGGCTCTTCCTTTAACGAGAACATCACGATAAGATAATTTTGCGGTATTACTTAGTGGTATGATTTCATCTTTATTGTCTTTTCCTTTCATAAAAATGACAGCTTCGTCTTTGCTGACCTCTCTCTTCACGTAAACATCTTTGACTTTCCCTTTAAAAAGAAAAGAAAATATGTTAGGACAATTAAAATATAATACATAATGTATAATAACAAGGATAGTATTAACGGTTAATTAAAAGATATGTAAATTCAAAGATCTATTTAACTACAATCCACGCTAAATTTTTAACAGAGGAAGAATTGTGGGTAACATACCTAAATTCAATTCTTCATTTTCATCATACAATGTAAAATCATCGGTGTCAGAGTCCATAACGATATCATTATGATTGATAATCAAGTGTCGATTTAGCGCATCAGGGGAATCAAATCGCGAACCATTGCAAATTGGGCACTAAATATAAAAAAAAGGTCAAAGCGAACATTTCAGTCACCCTTGTGCTTACAAAACAAATATACATGAAATATTTTTTTTGGGATTACCTTAAATGGTCTTTGTTGAGTGTGTCTACGTAAATGTTTATACCTTTTAATTTAATAATATTAGTTTGTTGTTTATTATAACCTTTCCACGGACATATATAAAATGGGTCTCTTAGAAATGATTTGTTGCAAGAATTGATGTCGTGCTCAGCAATATGCTCTCTAAATTTCTCCAGAGTTTCAAAGTGCTGTGGTTCTGAATGAATATCCCATTTGCAGACGAATGATTTATATTAGCACTTTTAGACATAGTAGTATGGTAATGTTCGATTATACAAACAAAACTGAATCTCTTTTATTATTTAGGTCCAAAAATTCTAATGTGTCAAACAAAATAAAAAAAATAAATATAATAAAAAACCCAATTCGAAAGAAATCAATTTGGAACAAAACGGTCAAGACGAAAAATTTGGAAACGTTATTTACAAAAAAATTTTCTTTTCAAGGTTTGCGATGTACTTAAATATGTCGTCACGCGACTAAATTTTTGAATAAACTTCACACACTGCTATCAATTCAATTAATATTTATAAGAACTATAGAACTATAATATATAATATATATAAAAAAATAAATTTCATGAGAATCTATTCTTCGTTAATTGGAAATTGAATTATCAGCAATCTGATTCACTTATTGTAATGTGTCGTTGCAAAGCCCAACCGTGTATTCGATGTTGTGAATGAAAAAATTTTAGCGTTAATATTTTCAATTAACGAAGATTGCGGAAATGGATGTTAAGCTCGACCTAATATTTGAAATCCGAAAAGCAAATAAAAAATAAATTTCTTATTGTGAAAAAACAAAATCATTACGTAAGATTTTCATTATTTTAATTAGGTACTGTTTTATGGTAACAAAATATAATACAGATTGTGCAACTTGAACTTAATATCCGACCATTTTATATTGGATTTTGAATAAAAGATAGGCTTAGTCGGGAAAAAATTCAAATTGTCTATACACTGTTAATAAAATTTAACCCCATAATGCATGAATGGTTTCACCCTGATCTAAAACAAACAAGGATTTCATTTTTTGTATTCCGGAACAAAGTTTTGCAATTAAAACATATCATTGTTTATCAGAAGATCAGAAAATGCTTTTCACATCTTTCCTTTTTTTAAGCCTATAATGCACGTGACTTTCCAATTTAGAATTCATTTTTAATTTTTTTTTGTTTTTTGTTCGTTTTTTGAAGGTCATCCAAGTCGCTAAACAAGAGAGCTAACCAACTATAATCAAATGTTTCATCACAAAAATGAAAAAAAAAAAAATAAGTAGGCAATCTGTTCAATAACTGTGCCATAGATTTATTATTTATGTTTTCACAAAAAAAATTAAATACAACAAACAATATTAATAATATACATTATTCAACCATTCATCAAATAAATAAATATTTATTTATATTTGTGACTTCAGACCAAAAAATAATCGGAAGCAAATTTTACTATATTTATTTAGTTGTTGCCTTGTTCGCTTTTTCTGTTATGAATTAAATTTAAAAATATTTTTTTTTTTTGCCAGCTGAAACAAGGAACATTAATGATCCTTCAAAACAATCGTACGAATAACGGTTAAACTTTTAATCTTTTGTCCAACGTATTTTCAGATATAAAGTGTGAGAAATCAATCATTAAGAGTTTTTTTTTTTAAAAAAAAAAAATATCACTTTATTTAATATCGATTTCTGAACTTGTAACAAGCTGAATTAATTTAATGAATTTTTCTTCCAGATGTACGGATTGTGGAAGTGAAGTAGAGAGAGTAAGCTGGTGTAAAGTTTGTGAGTCATTTGCCTTTAAAGAAGATTTTAAAAATTGGACTAGCGGAAATCTTGAGATTGATAATTTCATTAGACATACTCAGTTAAATGCAACCGATAATATCTCATATTTAGAATATATTGATTTTAAGCATTTGAATTTTGTAAAAAACATGAACAAATGTGGTTCTTTTAGTACAATTTATTCAGCAATCTGGATTGAAGGTCCTCGACGGAATTTGGATGAAGAAGCTGAACAATGGATTCGTAGTGGTCCAACAAAGGTTGTTCTTAAGAGACTTAATAATTCACAAAATATGAGCCAATTATATTTAAACCAAGTAAGACAAAAAATAAAGTTATTAGATTATTACATTTCAAAAATATTTATCAACCTCTTTCATTCATTCAATTTCAAATTAGCTCTATAAGCATGACATTTGCCTTAAAAGTGGAAATTTGGCGAGCTATTTCGGAATAACCAAAGATCCTACTTCAAATTATGCGTTCGTGATGAAATATTATGAACGTGGTGATTTATATTCATACCTTGAGGTTCCAGATTGGAAAAATCTTATTGATATGCTTTGGGATATCTCTGGAGGTATCCGATATATTCATGATCATGAATTAATTCATGGAAATATTCATGGAGGCAATATATTGATTTATCATCATCATGATTCGGATAGTAATATGGAATTGGTTCATACTCGTATCGCTGATGTAGGAATACACGGCCCAGTTAATAAAGACGATACAAATGTATTATATGGAGTCCTTCCCTATGTGGCTCCTGAAGTCTTGAAAGGGTCTCCACTATCAAAAGCTTCGGACGTCTATAGCTTCGGAATGATCATGTGGACACTCGCCGCTGGTGTTCGTCCATGGTGGGATAGACCACATGACCTTAACCTCGCTACTGAAATTTATTCTGGTCTTCGTCCTAAAATTCCTGAAAGAATACCAAACGTTTATATTCAATTAATGAAACAATGTTGGGATCCTGATCCTTCAAACCGTCCAACTGCCTTGCATTTATGTGAGATGTTTGAAGATTGGTCGGAATCTTTTTATGATTCTGACGATTTTGATGCGGATCAAGTGCAAAGATTAGAAGAGTATGGTTGTCATCCTCAAGCTTTCTATACAAGCAAGCTTTTATACTTTCCTGAATTAATTAATTCGTAACCCGTCGCATTTATTGATCGGCATTCGATTAGACCGAAAACTATAGAATTTGATATTTTTTTTTTTTTTTAAAAAAAAAAAGAAAAGTGAAAGAAATATTTGCTTGGGAATTTGTACTGAGAAATATCAATTTAGATTTTGAAATTGTCATAGGTATTGATAGATGTTATGTTAAAAGGATATTCATGTAGTTTTGGAGGATATATATACATCGTTTGTTAATCTAATATATACAACTAAAAAGCACTTGTATTCTTAAAAGAACAACAATAGGCTGTTAATTTTAAATAGTGTAAATATGTGAAAAAATAATTTAATGCTGTGCTGTTTAAAGAAGGTAAGCTATATCGAATTAATGGCATTACATGAGAGGATTCGTTACTTGCATTAAAAAAAATAATAATGTGATATCAAAATCTCATATTTTGTGATAACTTAATTAATAAAGTTTATTTTGCTTTAAATAATTAAATTTAATTTTTTAATTTTACAGTGTTTGCTTAATAAAAAATAAGATCATAATTTTGGTTAGAGGTTTGTTAGGTATGCTGTTCGCGTACACGTGGAGTGGCGTCCGTGACAAATAACGAGTGACAAATAGGTTTCACGCCCTAAAAAAAGTTTTCAAACTATATAATACTGGAACAGATTATTTATATCATTCACGTCCCCGGAAAAATGAATATTGTGAAATTCTTTAATCTCAACCATTCCTATTGCTTAAAATACTAGTGATAATGATGTTTTTAACAAGATAATATCATGAAGCTTACCTACTAATTTTTATGATGAAACACTATGTATTTTATAAAAAAGTCGTCCACAAGCAAAATCAAAAAATGCACTACATGCCGTAAAAACCACCTTCGCGAATCAACTTGAACATTCACTAATGGAGATCACCCTTATTGCTTTTGAAGCTTATTATGGACCTGCACCTATTCCTAATGTTCACCGTCTAGCTTTCAAGTTAGGTAAACTAACAATTTCGCAGAAACAGTAGAAGTTACTAAATGTACTGTAAGTTAAATACTTTTTTACTTAGCTTTAAAATATTATTACAAACTCCGTGAATAGAATTATACCATGGTTTTTAGTGAATTAAGACAAGGTTTCTCACGTGATTGTTGAAATGGTTAAAACTTGGTGAAACAGAGAGATCATCACAACCGTACACCCCGAATATGTATGTAATATATTAGTTCAAAATAAAGGTAGCACAAGAGGGTTGATCCGCAAATTTCAATCACAAAAAAAAAAAAAAATATTATATATATGGGTCATGGACTAGCAAAATGTACCTCCGAGGAAATCTTACTTTTTTGAGAAAATTACAGATCAACATAAA